GAGGATGAGCGAGGAGGTAGGTAGGTCGAGGAGGACGGGGAGGAGCGAACAGGCAGAGAGAAGGAGGAGGAGGACCAGGAGGAGGATGGGAAGCGAGTGAGGAGATGAGGAGGAGGAGGAGGAGAGCGGGAGGAGGAGGAGTAGGAGGCAGGAGGAGGAGGAGGAGGAGGAGGAGAGGAGGAGCGAAGAGGAGAGGAGGAGGAGGTGGAGGTGAGGAGGTCGAGGAGGAGGAGGAGGAGGAAGGAGGAGGAGCGAGGGGAGGAGGAAGGAGGAGGCGGAGGAGGGCAGGAGGAGGGAGAGAGGAAGGAGGAGGATGGGAGGAGGGAGGAGGAGGCAGGAGGAGGAGGAGGGAGGAGGAGGAGGAGGAGGAGGAGGCAGGAGGAGGAGGAGGAGGAGAGGAGGAGGAGGAGAGGAGGGGAGGAGGAGGAGGAGGAGGAAGGAGGAGAGGAGGAGGAGGAGGAGAGGAGGAGGAGGAGGAGGAGGAGTGAGGAGGAGAGGAGGAGGAGGAGGAGGGAGGAGAGGGGAGAGGAGGAGGAGGAGACCATGCATGATATCAGGACATACCATGTATAATGTAGTGAAACGCATTGGAATGACTTTGAATTTCTGAATTTACTAGAAAAACAAATTATTAAATCTAAACGTAACCTATTATTACTTTAAAGGGTGTGTTGGCCACAGAAGGGTATGTATGCTAGGCCCACAATGTTCGCACCTGATGTGGATGAAAGGAACCTTCACTTTTGACTAAAAAAGTCTGTGGGCCACAATAAATGGCATTGTGTGTCACCAGTTGGACACCCTGATCTAGATCATTATCGTAGGTAGATAACGTCATGAAAATAGTAATTATAAAATACTTTATACAGAACAATGGCATTTAAATTCTCCATTTGATTAATATTGAAATTGCAACATTTTATGCCAGAATGCAGGTCTACATGAAACTGAAGTCTTCTTCACAACATACCAATGTTGAAACAATTTGAAGAGATGGCCTCGCACATATGATGTGGGACATGGGTGCTGTTCTGCCAGATCCAAATATTCTAAAGCTATATCCCAGGCAGGAGGATTACCACCTTCGAATACTGATGGATTATAAAGATTACCCTCTGCAGACATAACACCATGGCAGCCTGTTTCCTCCAAGCAATGGTATACATCTTGGAGGCACTGAATATTACCATTGGCAACTACAGGAATTTTGACATTTTCTCTGTAATGATATAAACAGAAATTAAGTTTCAAGCAAACATAAAATTTAGTACAAAGGAAATCCTCAAAGATGTTAAGGAAGCAGAAAATTAAACAGGTCACTTCACGGACAAAAAGAATGGTTGCACTATACCAGATCCATGATAGAGTAACAAGTTACCTTGTTACAGTATCATGGATCTGGTATACTGCTTTTTTTTCGTGTTGCAATCAGAGTTTTAATCTAAGAGAATTATTTATTTTGTCTTGAGAAAGAAAGGAAAATTAAAATATTGAATGAAGTAAGGTTAAGAAAAAACAGAAAGAGAAATAGGTTTGAAAATACAGTTGTCACATTAGATAATGTAAGAAATGAATGGGTAAAAACCAGAACGGTATAAGTGACATTTAATAAATTCTGAGAAATCTGTTTATATGTCAATATCACTGTAAAGTTTTGTTTCATCATTAAAACCAAAGCATTTCAATTGTTCATTAAAATCATGAAATTACATTACCACCTACATACAGCCTTAAATAAACACATTTTTCTTAGAATTAATAAAATAGCACGTATTCCATTCTGGTTTTCACCCATTCAAATAATATACGTATGATAGTCAATTCAGGTGGTAATGACAGTGATTTCAGAAAGTGAAAAGAAAGAAAACCCCCACCTACTACCTGATTCTCTTCAGTTAAATGAACAAAGATTTTCTTTAGTATTTTGCTGAAAAACGCTTTGTTTCTGAACAGCAGTTCCTTGATAATTTCTCTCCTATAACGTTAAAAAAATATTGATAGCTCTAATTACTGCCAAAGAAAAATTCTACTTTTTCGTTACAAACGAAAAACGTGTGTGGATTGACGGAATTGGAGGAATATTACAACAGCTCTGTATCACGTGCAGCCCTGGGATCGCGCACTTCGGCCTCTTGGGTTTTATTCACTCAGAATCTTAGCCCGCTAGCCAGCTGTCACAACTGTTGTGCACTCACTGTTTACAAATGACGCCGGTAGCCTTCCTAAGTCTACAATAGCGCATTAGAGCTTGAAATTGTGAATAAAGGTCCGTTGATAAACGGGTTGCGGCGAAATGGTAAAGCTACAAACTACCAAAAACTTATCAAACACGAAACAAAAGTTTTTCAGAATATGAAGATGGACTGAATCAACTAATTACTAATTACAATAGTACTTTAAGATTAAATTATGAAGCCTTTATTTTACAAACGAGGTTTGAAAAAGCGTACAGAAAGGCTTTGGTGCTTTCCGGGCCAGAATTTTACATCCATACCACAAGTACGTACGATAAGCGCACTTTATCGACAACTCACAAGCGCTCTGTGCGTGCCGAGGCTATGACAATGGCCTCGTGGGTGCGCATACGAAAGCTATGTGGATAATCGGAAGCCTAACTCATCACTTCTAATCCACCCGTGAAAACAAATCAACCTCCTTTCTAATTCCAAAATGTTTTCCACAGACATTAGCCCATGTTAGAAAATGTTATACATCCCAGTTTACCTCCAAACACATTTCCAACCAAATGAACATTGACAACACAAAAATTCACAAAAAAATGTAATCCAATTTCCTACCATTCCCAAATATTAAAAATGGTGGAAAGAAAATATTCAAATTTAAAAATAGAACTTTCAGCAATATGAGATAGCTGTTAACTGTTCAAACCTTGCCACCGATTTAATAATTCTACGGACCTCAAAAATTATCGAAAACGTTGCAGATAAAACAGTTGAACAACAATTTGCAGACCAATACCAAATCCTCTATCGTATTGGAATAAATGACACTTTCCAAAAACTAAAACAAAAATACTATTGTCTTCATTTCAAATCACAAATTAGTAAATTATATTAACAATTGGGAATTTATCAGAAGAACAGATATGGACGCCATAGTAACAAGGTTCCAAAAGAAGGTCCCATTCATCGAAGTATCTTCCAAATATTCATTCTCCCTTTTTCACATTGACACCCTACACTTTGAAGGACAAATAATTCTCACTGTATTAGACGCTTTTTCTAAATACGCCCAAGCACACAAACAAAGACGGCACTGGATATTCAGCATTCTAGAAACTGAAGCAATACTTTCGCACCATAGTTTTCCATCTCAAATAAATCATGGTCACGGTGCGAATTTCAGAATAAATTAATTGACAACTTCGTCAACAGCATGGTAAACTCCCACAACATTGTTTTCTTGCCACAACACCTTTGAATTTCTAGTCTCGTTCTTTGGGACAACGATTTAACTCTATACTTGTAGAAAAAATACGAATTTTAGAAGTAAAGATTGAAATAGGCCACTAAACCTTCTAGTAGACTATTACCTTTTTCACTTCAATTCAATGTACCGCAAAGAAAACTCCTTACAATACGTAACCATTATAAAGCTCGAAATCACGTATTTTCCGACTCCTAATGCAGAAGAATATATCTTTTAAAAAAGAAATCCAAATTCAAAACTTGGCTGAAGAAAACCACCAAAAAGAGAGACGATATTGCCAGTAAAATATAAATTAGATGACCTATCTTGGATCCCTTGACTAAACCAAAGAATCTCTATTGAGAAGAGAAAAATAGTTACGATGTCAAAGAAATCTCTATTGAGAAGGAAAAATAGTTACGATCAAAGGCAAAAAAATTCACGGAGAAAATGAAAAAGAGGAAATTCCATGTTAGACACTTTCGCCATGAGAAAACCTAAGATAAGGAACAGAACACAAAACAATTGAAACTAGGATTTTTTGCAGATACTTTCGACTCAGCTGTAATTGTGAACAATAATTACAAGTTCAAGTTCCATTTGAATATCACAAATTTAGAAGAATCTTATAATATAATAAAAAATACTTCAGTTATCCTAATTAGAAAAAAAAATCTTTCAATTTTTATTTTTTGAATTTTCAAAATTATGAAAATGATAAAGAAGATATTTTAAAGTGATTACGCCCAAAGCTGAGAAATAAAAGGGGCCTAATTACTGGAGAGGCTTTAAGACCACATTAAAACATTACAAACAGACCGCAGTAAATTAAATTCAATACTTTAATAAATTAGTCACTTAAAGTAATTCTACGTATTTTACAGAAATTTTACAATGAAATGTGTCAAGTAGATTTAGATTTGACGTAATTCAAATATATGTAATTAAAGCACGAATTTCACTTAGGAATTCTAGAACATCATCAGTACATAGCAATGTACTTAAAAAGACCTTAAACATAATGCAGACTAGAAAAGTACTATCAGTCTCATTTATCGTCATGTCCAAAGTGCAATTATTTCACAGGAAGACAATTTTAAATTTTTTTTGATCATCTATATGGTATAAATCCAATTAAAGCAATAGTTCATAGTGACCCATATCGTAGGTATGAAAATTAAAAGTTCACTAAGACTCAGTTATGTTATAGGCTAGTAGATATTTTATTAGTACCGATGGTAATAATCGTAATATCATTTAGACTCTACCACTCCAAACCTACAATTGATAATATTGAATTAATACCATCTGGAAAAATATTATCTACAGGGATCTACATTAAATTGATCTATCAACCCCTGTGTAAGAACAACAATGACTAATGCAAGCTTCACTGTAGTATAATGTAAACGCCTGCTATCGCGAGTAAGCAGGTCCTACATTGAAAAGACCTTTATAACACAGCACAATTCCCATTTATTATGGTTTTGGTTACAAAATCCTCCGTCTCAGGAAAAAATAATTCAACGATGATCCCAGGTCCTGCCTAATCATAGTTTTTAGATTAACTTAAATATTGTGTATTCACTTCATGTACGTGGAAACCTTTGACACTAAGAAAACATAATATCACTTTATAAAAAATGATGTTTACACACAGCTTTTAAATTCGGAGTTACGAATTTATTTTATAATTTCATCGCTCTGCTCGGATGTGCAGATTTTGGTGCCAGAGAGACAAAATCGATTACGAAAGAAGTTAGAAAACAAGAAAACTCCACTTTATATTCACCCTCGTCAAATGCGACGGCCTTGTGGAAGCCCTACTCAGTACCTGAACTTTCTGCATAAAGCGAGGAAATGTACATGTCCCCTCATTTTCTTGCATTAATTACTAATTCCTCGAATCAATTTTATACTCTCGGAGAACTTCACTGTCCAAAACCAAACCGAAACAGCAGGAGAATTGGAATTTGATCAACCAAATTTGTTGAATTGGTATATAATATGACAATTCAACCGTTACAAATTAACTCCACCATAGATTAAATATTGAAGAATATCTCAGAACCTAACAAATCAACAGCGAAAAATAAAGGCCATATTTTAAAACGTTCCTAATCCTCTAATGCATTTTATTGCCCTGAACGCGACTTTTCTTTAACCAATGTAGTAAAGCCTTATATCCGAACAACAGACGATAATCCAACGTCGCAAGAAACTCTATAGATATCCCCCTTTTTAAAGACATAAATAATGAAGTTCAAACGTTACTTGACAAGGATTTGTCACACCCATCGAATCGCCTCATACGTTCTAACCCGACATGGGATGTATATATGCAAGAAAAAGGGAAGTTGCCCTAAAAAATAGTGACAATAAATTGATTTTAGAAATGTGAACAAAAGCATCTGAGCGAAATAATTCAACTATTAGAAAGAGAATCGTTTTCAATAACGGACAGTAGGAAGTATACATTTCGGAAAAACCAAATAGCCATTACGGATAAATGCTTAATACTATATTATATGTACTAATCACTGACGGTTATCACCCATATGGTTCCATCCATGACAAAATTATCTACAACGTATCAACATAAAAGGAGTTTTGAGAAGAAAGACGTCGTGTATTATAATCAAGATAGACGAATGCGAGTTTGCCCAAATCACTAATAACACAAAAACGTTTAGGCTATTCAACCAAACGAACATCTTATTTTCTCCTCAAGTCAAGAAATTGTCATTCACACTTATAAATATACTCAAACTACTCTCATATTTCGAGATTCGCGATATGTGCTGTCATATGTCAAGTATAGAATCTAAACTCACAAATTATATTAAAAACTTAACTTCTTATGTACATTAAAGATACACCTACTGTAAATCTCTTCTCTACGTAAATAACATTAAATCAGATTTAGAACCTGTTATGACAACTCGCTCTTTGTGCAAACCATGAATGCATTTGATATAATTTATATTAAACTGTAAGCTTTATATTATGGATATTTATGAGTATTATTAAGAGATATAAAATCCTAATACCAAAAATTAAAATGACACCGATAATTTCAATTAAACATATCACAGAATGGTTCTTTGAAACGAAAGAAGTTGCTGCAATACCAAAGGTTACATAATTCTTCCAAAACTAGCACAGACAAACATTCAAGTACAAACAAGTAGAAACTCGTACAAACATTCCACAATGACCTAGAAATCTGTAAATGAAAATAGCCATTGTCGGCAACTTCCTGGCAGTGCAATATTTCTCTGAATAACTGAATATGACTAACGGGTGTTGTTCTTCGGAAGCTTCGTGTAAACAAGATTGCTTGGACTATAACAAAGCTAAAAAGATCAGCAAAATATACTACATTCGGCCTACAATAAGTAGACGCCGGTTGGCTACGATCTGAGAATCATTTCCCACCAACTTTCAAAATTTCACTGAATTGTCGAAAAATTGCAACTACTTTGATAAAATATTTCACAATTTTACAAATATATGAATATATTAAATCCCCATTCACAATAGCATATTATGGTTTATAATTCGTCCTTTCTCACAACTACAAAATGTCATGCACGTCATTATCAAAGCATTTCTATCCATTTGATTCAAACGGAGATCATTTTAAACAAACCTCAGTAGGTAAATCTAGATGCACTGACAACTAATATGAAGAAGCGGGACGAACTCTGACGGTTTCAAGAAAGAGGTGTGTGGGAAAGTACGTTTACGCCTGAAAGAAGCGTCGCGAAGCGGGTTTGGAGTGAAAGAGGCCTGCTAGCGTTCCACCACAGAAGAAAAATATTCCGAAACTCTTTCCTCAACGGTTTCATGTCGAAGGAAAAAATGGAATGGCAAGAACAGTTATCTTAAAACATTTGGACAAAATTACCAAGCGACATTTTAATCAAGTTCATTTAATAAACAAAATCTGTTACTTTCAGTTTCACAAAACGTAATGCTCCAGATCTCATCAGATTTATTACATTTTAATTAAATAATTTATAAATAATTGAATAGATCTTTGTTATAATAACAACACGATTATACCACGTCACACAAATCTCAGCCGACACACTACATTACAACTTTGCAGGTGAATATCACATTGTGAAGGATGAAAGAATTATCCATGCTCTAGGTGGCATTGCAACACTATATCTTTTCGAAAATAACTTATCTCATTTCGTGAGTAAAAAATAAATATTTTATATCGCACTAAACCATCAGGATCTATTCGCTTTCAAAACTTGACAAGGGGAATCTTCGTCATTTGATATACAAATTCAAATCTACGCAATTTGTGTCTCAACAACACCATCATGAAAATAAGGTTATCGATAATTTAATCATACCAAAACATACATCATTAACTGATCTACAGGAACAAAAATTCATCACAAACATGTAACAAACATTCCTCTCATTTTCACCACATCGTATAATACAATCCTTCCTTTCTTTATGAGTAAGCTTGTGAATATGGATTTTGAATGTGTTTGATGGGAAATTGTACGTGGAATGTAGTGTCTTTTACTTCTGTATATTTCTTTTAAATAAAGTCGTATACTTCAGGGGAAAAATTATGAAGAAACGAAATACATGATAGAAAGATATTGACGTGAAGTGTGTTGTAGGTACGCAATCTTGATTTATCAAGATAATTGAAATTGAAACAAATTAAAATTGAATTGAAAATGAATTCATTGAATTATTCTCATAATGATATAATTCAGCTTCCTCCATCGTGATGGTTGTAAAAGAAGCGGTTTTTACAGATGTAGAGTTGACAAATTAATTACAGTTCAAACGCTTGAAACAACAGACTCGATACGCTGGTAATATTTAAATTGCCTTCAATAATATATCTACATTTGAAAATAGTTCTGTATACTAAATATTCCTTAGTTTATTTATGTTTTAGCTGACCAAAATGAAAATCTAGTGTCAGAAAACTGCGATATCTTGGTTTAGTTGATACATACTGTGGCGACTTAATCAAGGCACCGCTTCAATCAATATTCATAAGCATATTAAATAAATAGATAACATCTCAGAATCGCTTCAAAAGTTCAAACACTTTACTGTTAACATTCAGCCAATGAAATATATATGGCTCATTTTGTTAAAAATATTCCGTTACGAAATCCCTGAAGATATAAGTGAAACGAAAACATAAATAAATTACTTATCTTCAAGTTGGGGGTAATTTCTTTCTATTAAACAGAGTAGATAATAAATTATTAACACACAAATAATACTTTTCTTGAGATATTGTTATTCTGTAACACATTTGGCGTGTTTTATATAAATTTGTAAAAAATTACAATACTCTTTCGTCATTCATCAGCTTATATTTCAGAACAAAATTATGTAATTTTATGAGCAAGAGGAGCAGAGAGTAAAATAAAGTGCTAAGACTAGATGGATAAAATATATATGGAAAATCAAAAACGTGAAAATAAACATTAGCAATATGATTCAAATGTAATAAAACACGGTCAACAGGTTCGCAATGAAATGAAGTTTGACATTTTTGCCGGTTTTTCTTTCATTTTGAATTTCTTTCGAATATGACATATTAAAAGGTCAAGTATTAGTTTTATGTTTTGCTTTATTGTGTGAGGATTTCCAAATATTTTTATTAAAACATTACAGTAACAAATGATGACAATCATTTACAAGTAATGTAAATCAAATGCTTGTTAGTCGCTCGCACATTCAACAAACAAAACACCACGATACTATCGAGTTATCAATATAATAGCCTTGACCACAACCCGATTTGGAAGATTAATGACAATTTGTTACCTGACAGCCTTTATGTGGGACCAGCTAGCAAGTCCAGTGAGAGGTCCCTTCTGCTCGCGAGTGCGGCCATGCACTGTGAGCATCTGACAGCCTGCCGCCTCCAGCATTTGAGCGTATTCCACCGTGCGCCCCACGTCTTCGAACACTCGGATCTTGCACGTCACAGGCACCGATAAAGCTCGGTGCAGTGTGCTTACTAGACAATAAAACAAAATTGGTTATTTTAAAACGTCCCGGAAAAATGTTTCACCGACTTCTTTATTGAAAGTAGGCGAAACTGTGAAATTGATGGCTTCAAGCCAAAACTACTATTTGGTCCCGAGCTCACATTCAGCTCTCAATAAATCATTAATGTGAAAATATCTTCATTTTGGAATACGACTTCTAACGGCCAGCCCTTGAGTTGTCCTTTACAGCATTTTGGATCTCATACTGCGCTTAAGTAACTATTCTAATATTGTCAAGCGTTGGGATTAAATTGCACAGTAATAAAATAGTTAATTTAATTTCATCGTGAAATATTATTTCTCTCCCTATTCTTCATTTTAATTTTACATGGTTTTCGAGTTTTTGCTCGTTTCAGACCATATATGTTACGGAATAGATCAACTAATGGACGTTTCCAAGCAGGTCAACCATGATTATTAGTCCCGTTCATGCAACTTATGTTTTATCTTGGAAGGTGGCCTTCCCTAAATGGATGGCGAGATCCGGCGCAGACCTATACGCCGACTTGGAGAATATTTACCCCTCCAGGAATCTCCTCCCAAAGGCGTGTCGCCCCAGCCGCGAGGTAAGTGAAGGTGTTATTATTGGTGGAAAATGTAATGAGAGAGGAACATTATACAGGTAGATATGGAGAAAATGTATTATTTAATCACATAGGTATTATTTTTTATTTGGAATACGATAAAGCGAACCAATCTGTGGTTCTGAAAGGAAAAGGTTGTAAATGAAGTATTCACTGAGCTCAATCCAGCTATACTATAGCCAGAACCGAAAATCTGACGCCGCCGAAACTCGAACTCTATGACGTCCGGGTAAACGATGATGGAGGGGCATCGAATGTTCCAACCGATATACAAAAAACTAAACGGTACTAATAAAAATATTTTAACATGTTAACATTATTTTATGAGTTGCGGCAATGTCGCACGTTATTGTATTATATTATCAATTAGTTTGTGATTAATTGACAAATATAACACACTAGTCATTGTCTTTTGATATTTTAATTAAACTATAACATATTCACATCTTTCGGTTTTTGGTGGCGATGGGGGTTACTGAATTTCAGTTTTGGTCGAGTGCTTAGTCTTTGGCGCTAGCGATTATTGCCGGCGCAGCGCGTGCGTGCGTGCGTAGGTACCAATGTCGTGGAGGAGGTCCCAGTCGTCCTGCAGGAAGGCGCCGTAGCGGCCGCGACGCGCGATGGCCTGCGGGCAGCCCAGGTTGAGGTCGACGGCGTCGCAGTGCGGCTCCGCCAGCAGCGCCGCCTCCAGCAGCGTCTGCGAGTCGTTGCCGCAGAACTGCAACACGCGGTCCCGCTCACAGCTCAGACACACGGCGCGAGACGTGGGGCGGCTAACGCAATCGTTTTCGCCCCCTGGCGTTAAATCAGCAGCGTCTGGGGTGAGCGGCGATCTGTTAGACGCTAGGTTATTGTCTGTCCGGGCGACGCCGCTTGACTTAGCCCCATAGAAGATCGCAGCTTGAAGACCTAAACGTTGACAACTACCCCTAGGATACGTTTATACACCAGCTAACATTTCGTTTCTTCACCATTACATCTTCGAGGAAGAGAGAATTAATTGGAAATTCAGGAGCGAGATTAGTACCATCTAGCATATATAGAGTTAATAAAGAAGTCTACCTCGAATATCTTCTCAACGGATCAAGATATTAAGAAGATATTTTCATCAAACGATTCGGAACACAGGAGCTCGTCAGTAGTATTTATTAGCTTTCTGGCAGCATATTTAATTTTAAAGATACTGCACTAAGCTCTTTAAATTGGAACAATACACATTTTTTACACGATACGACAGGTCTGGAAAAGGCAAATTCAGCAATACTACGTAATATGGTGGCATTTGAGGAATAATTAACAACATAAAAGAGTACGAAATTCGGCATTACAAGAACGGCAAGTTCTCGAAAGCGTGGCGCATTGCTGGGAACTAAAGCAGTCACCAAGTCCAAGGTGCAGGGCAGGGCAGTGCAGCGACCTTCGCGACTGCATAGGTCGAATTTCCCTTTCATGACGGCCCGGCGAAGCCCTCGTATGCTACAATTATTTAAGGCAATGCGTTCTCTTTTCGTTTGAAAGAATCGAACGAAAATAACTCATGGTCATAGAGTGGACAAGAAAGTCACCGGTATGTTCTAATTAGTAGCATCGTTCATAGACAAACTCGATTCGCTCATTAAATCAACTTCGATTTTTAAAAAGCAGTGTACTTGTATAATGCCAGGTAGCATAATTCTTGCGATTGATCAACTACTTCAATTGCTAATGCCAGTATTTCCGTAGGTGTAGTGCATGTCTCGTCACAGGAGATGGCGGGCACCGCCCCAGCCGGGAAAAGCTCTAAGCTCCCGACTGGTCTCTCGTCGTGTGTGATACTGGGATGTAAGTGTAAGAGTGTGTATGTAAGGGGTGATAAGACAAGGAAGAAGAAGGAAATGAAATCATGTGCTGTCCGTGGCCCGTTTGTTAGAGTTCTGCACTGGCATTTGCCTGAAGTTGATCTGCCAAAACCACGCGAAAATACCGATCAGAGCATTTCGCCACTAGAATTCTTCTCCAGACAGCGGCTATACTCGACGTAACTATCTAAACTCTTGCGACATATATCACACGGTAAACATTACCTAGCTAATTTTTTGAAATCATTGCGCATCAAATTGCAGTGTGGGCCTATTGCCTCTACAATGATCTGTTTCGATACGTAGCAAAAATACACAAATACCTGTCTCTGCTTCATTGTCAAAACTGCGCAATTTCCGGGCAAGGGCGTAGTTGCAACTTCTTCAGTAAGAGAGATAACGACTTTAAATATTTTTTTAATGTAACTATCCAATTTTATTCCTAATTTACTCGTGAATTTGACTTAGGCATTTAATAAAACGAAATAACGTTTATGAAATTATGATGCTGATAGAACACAAACGGTTTGCAAAGTTTCTTCATCAACTTCCAGCTTATTCCGCGCCGCAAGTATTTGCTGTGCCCTCTTTGAATCATTCACTCTCTGCATTCGACAAACTTACATTTCGCGATTTGTAGATAGCCATGTTTATACCTCTGCACCTCGATTATCGGTTAGAGGTGACAACGTGCACTACACATCTTATTCTGCGGTTCTTTGAATCGACGAATGACTGATGCACCGCGAACTTCCGAGCCTGCAATAATGCCTTATTTTAAAGCACATTAGTGTTATAATTATTCATCAAATACCAACATATGAAGTATCGCTGAATTTGCCGTCTCAAGACTTGTCTACTCGACTAAAAAAGTATTGTGTACCGTTTAAAAAACATGTTAGTTCAATATATTTAAAATAAAAAAAGCTATTAAAAAGCTAAAACCACAACTTTAAGAACTGACTCATTTGGTGAAAATTCCATCTCAATATCTGGAACCACTTAGAAGATATTCGAGGTGGATGTTTTTTATTGAATAATTCTATATTTCCAGAGAACATATTCTACAATAAACACTGATTCAATTTCTAAAGTAGAAGGCAGAAGTCAAGAAAAACGTCTTAGACATTTCACCCAGGGGACAATACTTAAAAGCCAAGATTCCCTTAACGCCGGACGCAGAAGCCTACGTTTTCGATTCACTGATTATACAAGTAGGCAGACCCAAAGACTTGACATATGTTTCTCTCTGAATCCGCCAGAATTGCACCACCACCCTGCAGTATTTTTTTATCGCGAAAAACCACCCAGACATGGTATTTTGGTTTTGTTTAAAAGGTTTTTTTATTAAAAAAACTGGAAGCTGGTGGCGCAATTCTGGCTTCAGATTCTGATTCAGAGCGTGGACATACATAGAGAAACATGTGTCAAGCCTTTCGATATAACAACTTTTTTATATTTTGTGACTTTGTTATTATTTAGTGTTCCCGGGAGCTTCAACCATTACGGTCATGACTGTCATAACTGACTTGCATGTCATATTTCGGGAGACGCCGGTGCTCCTTCCCGGCTCGAATTATGTTTCCCCGTATGCTGAATTTTAGTACCTCATTATTTACAACTTCAATTTAATAGGAATAGGAAGGTTGTGATGCAGTTACTTGCAGAAACGTCACCGCTAATTGTGTCACATTCGAGAAATAAACCCAATTTCACAGTCCACAAGTGCAGACAATAATATGCATTTTCACACTTCACGCCTTCGCTCTAACAGTAAGTGACACAATCTCTGCCCTTTTGTGGAGTTGGTATGCCTCGTTCAAAGGAACGAAGAAGTTCGAAGATGGAGTTGTCCTGCCGAAAAGGGCGATGTGTTCGCCTCAGGTGCTCAGGTCTCTCGTGATCTCTCTCTCTCTCTCGCGACCGAAAGGCAGAAGAGAGTTCACGGACTCGTGCAACAGTCGCCGGCATGGGAAATGGAATTTCGCTGAAGTCTCTCCGTCGTCTATATTGGCATTCTCGACGTTCAGAAAACTCCCAGCAACTGCGGCCTCGAGGGACATTGAATAAAAGTTGTGTTTCTCGAATAGCGCACGAACGAGCTGCTCTGCCCGTGTGTAACTCACATTCTCCTGATTACTTCATTCGAAAAGAAGAGACTTGATAGCAGTTAGCGTTTTTCATTTGAGGAATATTCACACGTTATTTTCTATCTACTATCTATGACTGCGGACGAGCTTTCAGTAATTCAACTCACCCAAACGCAGTTCTCCTAGAGGTCGCATCCACAAAACGCAACTGTAGAAAATAAGTGGCAGATGCCGGTTGACGTAATTACGAGTGCGTTTACAACTTATCAGTTATGTAGAGGTCAGGGTTCACAATTTCTTTTACGCACACTTCTGTACAACAAAGGAAGCATATTCCATGGCATAACCATTGGCCATTGGCCATTCACACTGTTCTTTAAAAGATCGACGAGTGGTTTGAGTTCAATACTTTTAGATACTGTTACATAATGCAGCGCATAAATACTGAAAGACTTAGATATACAGACAATAATTTTGCCAAAAAAACACAGCCAAAAACTTTGTGTTGTGAAGCTAACCAAAATAAAAAAAAAGTGTCAAAAGTAAGAAGTTATTGGAAAATAATTATTCTGATGAATCGAGATATTGACTTGGCGAGTTCTGGGGATTGAACCTTAAAAGCACATTTCCCGAAAGTTGATATTTTTAAAACTTAATGTGTCTTTTTTTCCGCTTACATTTGTAACAAGAAGCTGAAATTTTTACAGTTGTTAATAAAGGCTTCCAACATTTACGAAAACAATTTTTTTTAACGATTACCATACTATTATCAATTCTACAGAACATTATTTACTAGAAAACACGGTAAAAATTGCATTACGAGAAAATATTTGTATCTACAAATATAGTAAACATGTTCTAAAACTGCTGTGAGTGATATATCTGGATTCTGAGAATTTTACCCAAACATTTAACATTGCCAAGATGGGGTATTCCGCATCCTCTCTCTGCACGCGGTGGCGCGTGCGCACTCACCTGCACGATGAGCGGGCGGTCCTCCGCGCAGGTGGCGAGCGCCTCCTGGCGGTACTTGGGGTCGCGCACGAACACGGAGCTGTGCAGCATGGGCGTGTAGCACACCTGCGCGCCGTGGCGGCGGCTGAGCAGGCGCCACGCCAGCTCGCTCGCGTCCACCATGGGCGCGACGAAGCGCTGCGCGCCGCCCAGCGTCTCGCGCCAGAACGCCTCGCCCCCGGGCCGTTTCGCCCGCGCCGCCCCCGGCCCCGCCTCCGCGGGCATTGCACTGTCCTGCAACACGGATGGGAATGGCCGACTAATTAGGGGAAAGTTCGTGATCATAGCATTTGAAATGCTACTGAAACAATTCATCTGTCGTAACATCAATTCAACAGTTTATTTAAAAAAACAAGTACGTTTTTCCCATTTGACTTCTTAGGGGTCTCCCTTTCTTTGCATATACGAGTACATGCTTACTGTGAGGCAGATCGAGCAAAACAATCGGTTTTGGTGTTTGGAACAGAACACAAGTGCGAATACGTGACATATCGAAACTACTCCTCATCTTAGGTTGTTACTTAAAAACTCATGTTTAAAAAAAAACAAAACTAAAATGAATGAAAAATTTAAAGATCATCTAAAATTGAGACAAGTAAGAAATCTCTGGTTTTAATATTGAAGATGTAAGAAAGGATAAAAAATAAATTTCAAATTTACCAATTTTCAAAATTGCAGAGGTGTTGAAAATTAGTGTACCAACTTTATGTATGCCTAGTAACTGTCTTCAATCCGATCAAAATATAATGTAAATTAAATAATTGCCCCATTTTCCAGATAATTTTGAAAATTTTAATACTGCTTAATGTAAAGTACCTCCTAAAATTAAAATATCTTAAAGAATTCCGGAACAGCGCAGCTAGATCTTATTCCTGACGCACTTGCCAAGTTTCAGATCAAGAGCTTCTAATCAGATCGAGTTATGCCTGTCACATCAATCCATCCATCTACGTAACCCGACATTCCGGTACAAAATGGCGTGTATTTCCTCGCCACCTGCACCAATCATAACAATCTTTGGAACAACACGAATAGATTAATTGGATTGTTGGTGAAGTAGATACCTTTTTTTTATTTTGATAAATAAATAGAGATATTGTCAGGTATCAATATTGATACCTGACAATATCTCTATTTATTTATAAAAAAAACACGAATAGACTTTAATTCTGACTACTTGAAGAACAACTTACTCTGACTACTCGAAAGATTCTGTGATTGTAATCAATACGGCCGAGGTAATATAAAAAGGCAAATCCATGCCTTGATAGAAATTAAGAATGTAAAATCGGCCTGATGACATGTTCAGAAGCGTATCTATAAATAAACCTTTTCACAACGATCAAACGCTACGGAAAGTTATTATAGTTGCTTTTATGACGACTCTGTCGTGACTTCTGCCACGCATCGTACAATTGTGTTATTTCAGCGTCGGTTCGGTAGTAATCGTTTGACACTACAGCGTTGCGGAGGTACGCGAAGGCCTTCCTCCCATATTCCACAGCGCATTCTGTTAGTTGTAAAAACGCTGGAGTACTGCGCTAACAAATATTCTTTACATTCGTTACAATAACAGGAAGATATATAATGTTTTTATTAAAGGAAAAGCACAGAGAAATGCTTCTTTCCTCCATTTGAGGTCTGTTCCTTGCTTTATTTATCTAAAGCCTTCACTTATTATGTTTAATTTAATTAAAACTAATTGTTGTATTCTGTTTTTTATAATTTTTAGAATATTACATGTTTCTTTTTCTCTGTAAGTTGTGAGCAAACTATAATCAACATAATATCTTTCATTTGTAGCTATTACGCGAACAAGAATAAACGAAACAATAATGTTCTTTGCAATTTTTTTAGTTTTTTAAATACGCAATTTCTAATGCATTTCAACATATTTTAAAACAATTTTTTCAGGAAGTAAAGCTCACCTGCATTACTGAACAGTTGTCATGTACTTGTACTTCGCAAGAAACATATTTTTTCCAAACTCTCTAACAATTTTTGCAAAAGAGGCAATACCTAGTAACTGAATTGAATAAAATGTGTAAATATGAATCAAATGAATTTACAATACAATGAGGTAAAAGAAAACAAAGACAAGAGTCCTTAATTTTATTTTAAGGCGACAATTAATAACATAAGCAAGTTATTTCATGCTATGATAAAACTATTAAATTAGGCGGTTTTCTGTAAAGAAGTTTTTACTTTCCGACGCACCGTAAGATCCTGATGAAGATGAATGACGAAAATTAGTAAACTCTGCTGCTAAGCCATACGAATTTACTGGGAAGACAGCTTTGCATAAGGGCAGTGATGCATAAGGAAGAGAGTAAACTATGTTGACAGCCAATCCATAACAACATCAATCGTTCTCTATTGATTCCAAGGGACACAAGAAGAGTTAATGGCTCCAGAGGCCTTCGAATGGGAAGAAATGGGACGGATAATTCTGTTAAGATATCTCAGATATTTCTTTCTGAATTTATTTAGAAGAATAGTAATGTAATATCAAACCATTCTAAGCTATGAGGAAAAATGAATTACTCTGCTTCATGAAAACCAAAACAAAATAGATTACTAGCGAAGAGAAATCTAAGGCGGTTAAAAATAATTTTCGCCAATTCCATACTACTTTCTAAAGAAAAGAAGATACGTGATGTTTAGCTAGTTTATAAAGAATAATGGAATAACTTTGAATACAAAAGGAAAGAAAAAAATAAGACACCAGTGTAATTAAGCAGATTAAAGGAGTAAAAGAGAAGAAAGCCGAAAACATTTCAGTTAATTTTATTCAATCATATGTTACTCTGGTTTGAAATGCCTCAGATTGATTTTTGCATAATCTACGTACAAAAAGGAGTTGGATAATGTAATTTCGAATAATAAGTAATAAAAATAAAGAAAAGCAAGGCATGTAAGGAGGTATAAGATGCGAAAGAACGAAAAATGTAATTGAAGGCAGAAAAAAATACGACAATGGGCAAGATAATACTAGGAACGATTTGAACACACACAGCACGAACAAATCGATAAACGACGTAGATAGCGAAATACTGTCAGAAAGAAAAAAAAAAGCAAACAGATTACGTAATTCGCAAACTTTCTGTCCTGCGCGAGCTCACACTAGCGATGACTGGTCACGTCATTAAGATAACCGCTTCGCTGCTCAGCGGGCAATTGCCTCGGGCAGCGGTCTCGCGAACTCGACGGCCCATTCAGAGCGGCCCCCGCACAATGGGGCCGATAAGAAGGCCTTTCAGTGCGAGCGTCTCCGCGACCACGACGCTCGACGAGGGCGCGGCGATAAGGAGCAACTACAGTGGAACGGAACAAAAGACGCGGGGCGGCCGAAGAGATGCGTTCGAGATGGCCACTCGCAGAGGATCGCCATGAATCGATTCTCCGCGAAACGACATCAGTAGTTCATCCGAAAAATCCTCGTAAGTTATGAAAAAAATGTCACGGCAAACATACAGTGGCCTGCCGTATTATTATTCACTAAGAAAATATCACATTTTTTAAATTTCTTTTTAAAATAAAAAATATTTCTGATGAATGTTTTCAATTTTTTTATTACGCAAATATTAAACTTACTTGCATAATAAAGAAAAAGTGAAATAAGTACTTGCATAATAAAGAAATTAAAAAAAATGTGATATGTTCTTAGTGAGTATAATAATATGACAAACCACTGTAAACCGTTTGATATCAATACTACCACGTTTAGTGTGCTCTATTCACTAATCCCGGTTTAACAAAATAACTAACGAGCCCTGCTAATTCCTGATATTACGACCCCGATGATAGTAGCAGAGGTAATATTAAGGACTGATGATAATTTTGGCTAGAGCCATTTTTTACTTACGTTGTTACAAGCGTCGCTAGAGCTCGTGGCGCTCACTAGATTACTACTAGAATCTGTTCCACTGCGTAAGAGTCAGTCTTCAGCAATCAAAAGCATATTTTCCGAAACATTCAGACCCAAAAAGTTTTACAGGTATATTAACGATTTATTTTTTTAAAGAATTGTCTAAATTTAATAATGCTCAAACTTGCAACAATTTTGAAGCAGAATGCTAATCCTATTAAGTAAAAAAGTTCAAATTCAAAATACCTAAGACATATTTTTGGTCACTAGAATGAGAGGATCCACGCGTAGCTTTAGAGAATTCAAGATATGAGAGTAACTAAATGTTTTTGGTATTGCAAACATTCAACTGAATCTAGGTAATCCACAAATGTCGAACCACAGGGTGTAAAAATATAATTTCTGTTTACTAGCAAGCAAATGTTTCTGAAGTACTTTTGCATCTCTGCACAACGTTAAATCTTTACATTTTTGTCTTCCAGACCAAGTCCAGAGATCTGTGTTGTTTTAGAATACACAAAGCAATAGTTAAGAATATTTAGACAAAGACAAATATATCTCAGATCAACAATATGATGATAGCAGTTAAGAAAACTGAGTCAATGTACGGTTCAGATCCTAGATGACGAACAGAAAGAAAGAAAAAAAAAATAAAAACGCCCTTTTTTAGAATTAAGACTTCTACCCAATACTATACTATTACATTTTTACGTTTCTATACAACCAATATATTATGAAGTAAAATGACCTGTTAAAAACTTAATTTTATTGATTGCAATTTATGCAAATTGATGAACATTTAGCATATTTACAGAATTTAAATTAAATTCAAGTAAATTCCAGTAGATGAAAAACATACTCGCACACAAACAAGCAACACACCACCTCCAGAAGATCTACAAAGAGACTAAATAATCCTGAAACTCCGAGTGTTTGTGATATTTAACAAATGTACGAACATAATGGAAATTAAACATTGACCACGTGTAACATTTTTTATTCGCAGTCGAATCCATTACAAAAGCTGACAACTTTCAATTAACGAGTTTTACCTACCACATCCTGCAGGAATTTTCGCTTTAATTGAATTTTTCGCAAACCGTCCGCAGGCAACGCGTTGTGGTTCCATTCGCAAAAATCACCGCGCCGACGGACGCAGTTTGAAAAACGCGCGTGGGAGGTCATTTCTCACGCGGGGGCTGGTGGGGGCAGCGCGCGCTGGGCCAAAGCCCTCAAAAGGCGCGCGCAAAAAAAGAAGAGCGAATTTGTTATTGGGAATACCCAGCATCCATGGGAACTGTAACTAGTGCTGCTTAAACGGCATTTTCTCGCCTGTTTTTCACGCAAAGTATGCGATAAGTAATGA